GCTCATCTCTGACATGCTGTGTTTTAGGGAACTTGGCCTTTAAATTGGAGATGGTACCAGCCAGGGCTCACTCCAATTAATTCAGTTTTGCGGGACACCAGCTTGAAGCTGCATTGGCACTCTGGCCCCATCCAGATCAGTCAAATGTGGCATGACAATTTTTGGAGCAGACGCCTACTGACACTGTAGCAGGTCTCATGCTCACAGGTGCTAATCAGGCACCTGATTGACAGCACCTGGGCATACCAGAAATGTCMGTAGCAACATAAAAATAAGCTGTTTGGTAGTAGCAGAGAAGATTTGGTAATGTTTTTTTAAATGTGTGCTCTACTGCTCGTATCACCAATGCATGTTCCTTACAAATGTGGCACCAAAGGGAAATTCACAGGCTGTCCAAGGGTGCAAGACATATTGCCAAGGAACATTGTTACAAAAAAACAAACAAACACAAATGTCCTTACTTTTTGTGCTACATATACTTTAAATTAATATACAGTCGTTGCAGACAAAACTAAACTGAGCAGTTTATTGTCTAATCTTAGTAAACCAAGAAAGTTTAAACTAAGAAAGGAAGCTTAGCTGTATGTGAGAGATAATGTTTAACTTGTTAATTCTGCTAAATGCTGTATTCGTGTCAAAGCTGCTCCTAACTGAAATTCCAACATTCATTCTTCTCAAAAGCCCAACAAGAATTTGGGTTATCCTTCTCTAAAATCTAAGCTGACGAAAATTAAAAGTTTTGATGTATAAACTAAAAGAAAAGTGTTGTGAACCAAGAATAAACAGTTTCAACTATGTTTCATGTAAGACATATACTGTAAGAGCTTCCACTTCTATGTGGTGAATGGCAGCCTGTCAGTGGGCCTCAGGGCAGCTTGGCTGCAGTGYAGCTTACCACCATCAGTGTGTGAATGTGTRTGTGAGTGRATGAATGACTGTAGTGTRAAGTGCTTTGGAKTCCTTGGACTTGATAAAGCACTATACAAGTTCAGGCCATTTTACCTTTCTAGTTTTGAAAAAAAACTGAATCTTTAATTTTCTATAATTTTGGTGGGTGCACTCTATTCTGGGGAGATAAAACTGTKTTTTACAATAGGAAGACACACTAAATGAAACAAGACAGAGAAGTTGCCTGCATTTGAAAACTGTGTAAAAAATGTAGTTTGTGGAAATAAGAAGAGTTGGAAAAAGTGATAGAAACTTAGACAGCTCAGAATTTAGTATGTGACATTATTAGTTAAACATTTTATGGAAAAATCGCCAAAAATGACTCAATTTTGATTGTGTAAAAACAAGATAAAAGATATAAAAATGCAAGTTCAGATGTGTAAAGTCCAACTTTCTGTGACCTGTATAATCTTTAAACGATGTCTTAAATGGTCTCTATTTTATGAAGTCTGTCTTTGCTATACAGCAAATTGGTCTTTTTTTTTACCATTGCTGTTAGTAAAGGAATTTGTTTGTTTTGTGTTTGTGTGACTAACATTTTTTTGTACCAAGAGCTGCAATAAGGCTCCTTTTTCATCACAGTGGTTAAAATAAGTGTCCTTGTTCAAAAAAACATTGCACTTTAATTTGTGATTGATGTTCTCTTTTAGTTTGTTGGTCATTACTTCTCTGCTCCTTTCATCTTCACTTTTGAGTATGTATTAATTTTGAGTATATAATAATATTGTAATATTTTAGTTCAACATCTTTATAACTTATAGTCTCCACCTACAACATACGTAAATAACCCATTAAATTTTTTTCAAAATAATTAATCTTTTTGTTTTTCAAAGATGCTACAAAACGAGTATTGTTTGACTCAAACTATTGCTGTCAGAATCTCTCTGAAAGTTGAAAACCAGCCAAAATGTTTCAACACAGAGATTAAAAACACATGTTTTAAAGCTGCCTTTTATCTAAGTTATTCGTTTCTCTACAGTTAGAGCAGACTTAGGGTGTGTGCAGCTACAACTTATCAACAGGAGTGTCCCACCATTCAGGTTTTAAACAAACACTCTGCTGCACTCTGCAACACACACACATGCAAGTTATTTTTTTCTATCCTCGTGGGGACTTTGCATTGACTTCCATTCATTTTTCATTTCAGCCTGACCCTGGCCTCTAAATCTAACCACCCAACTACACACCTGTCCCTAAACCTAGCCTAAACTCAATTCACACCTTAGTCCAACCCCCCACCCTCCTGTGCCCATGGGGTCCAGGCATTGGTCCACACAAGGCTGTTTATCTGGAAAATGGTCCCAAAAACGATAACACACACACACACACACACACACACACACACACACACACACACACA